TGTGAGACAACCATATAGCAAAACCGGGGCTTTGTGATTGGTCTTTGGGCACGGAAAGCACTGTGTGTGTGTGGTTAGGAATATAACAAGAGGTCAGAAAAATGAACAAGTGACGTAATAGATTATAGGGGATTGGAGNGTGTGTGAAAACCTATAGTGTGGAAAGAACCGGTGTGTGTGTGTGTGTGAGTGAGTGAGTGAAAGGTTAAACGGAGTCAAGCCAGGGGACTGATAATTGAGCTCCGTCCGATCGATTAACGCAATTCGGATCGCCGTTGATGAACAATGACTCCATGATCAGTCGTTCTCTATATGACCGAAAATCTTGTTTCAAAATAATTGTTTTTTTTGAAGTCAATCAAGTGTCCTTCGGCGATAGAATGTAGCGCGATTGCTGAGTCTCTTTCAAGTGTCCTAAGTTCTGCGGTATTTTTTGGTGCTTTCCTAGTTTTCCTATCATGTTCAGCTAAACGTTGCTTCAATTGTCATCTACAAACTAAGATGTAAACAATGTCCGGCCACATACGTTGGACAAACGAGCCGACACTTGTTGATTACCGATACTGCTGATTTGTGGACAAAATGTGCGTCTACTCTTGAGCTTACAATAAGAGATCTCATAAGATCCCTCCTATAAAAATCAGGTTACATTTGGTCATATTCGTGCCGCTTGCAACCATTCTGGGCTAGTGCGCTCGATATGTCACGTTGGTTGTTTTCAGATAGATTTAGATTACTCATTCGGTCGTCGATTCCGCGTAAACATCAATGGAAAGAGGTTTTTTCGGATGCCCTGCAACCCATGATTATCAATAAGTAAATCTACGCACAAAAGCGGACGATGCTTTATGGCCACTGCGTTTAGTGTCAGATTTTTTAGTGTAGCCTACTTAAACTCCTTTCCTTTGTCATCATCCCCACCCCCAACTGAAAGGGAGAAATTGCAGCGGTAACCGTACGGTTAGATTTTAATTACTATGAACGATTCCATCTCTTCGTTACAGGCTCAGTTACCTCTCCGGCTAAAGTATGCAAACACGATGCGGTAATGAACGAGAATCTCTGCGAACAAAGCCCCATTCAGATTCGACTGAAACAGGTCGATGCGGATCTCATCGAACGCAATTTACCGAATCCCGCATCACAAATCGTACATGGCCGCAACGGTCTCCGCTTTTGGGGCTCCGGATCTCGAGCTGTTCTATCTCCGTGTGGTGTTACCACTGGACCGCTAGTGAAAATGCATTTCCGAACACTCACGGTCGGAACGTGTAAGTTGTTTGGTTAATGGCAGTTTGCTTGAAGATCATTTATTTCTTTTCATATACCTTTTAAATGGAGTTTCAAGTGGTTTCAAAGTTCCTCGCATTACTTAACTCGATATTTTATTTTTATCAACAATGAAACGGTGTTCACCAACGAAAAACTGGCGTAAAGGGCAGTGTTGGTTTCCCTAATCCAAACAGTCTAGTTAACCAAGGGAATTCTGGGGGAAAATGATTTGATGACTCTTTGATGAACCGCTTTTTGTCATCCATATAATTTTGCAACTCACGTGAGAGATTTTTGGAATCATCACTTTGATACTGCAGCGCAAACCTCGGAATCCAAATAGGATGATGGGCATCAGCCATTGTCTGTTTTCGATAGCACAGCCATCAGTGACCTCCATGATAGGTGTTTTCCGGTTTGATTTTCGGATGTGCCTTATCTCACTCGCAATTTTTGAAAGATAGCATGCGTAAAAACTGAGCTGATTTCACCTCTGTTGCCCCTGACCTATGATTTTTTTCCATGTCCACACAATGCTGTTCGCTCCGTTGTATTTCGCTATACGATGGTGATGATGATGCTGTTTGACTTATATCAAAACCTTCTGTTTTTATTAACTGCCTACTTATTAAGTTATTTCAGTAACAAAAAACTGGTCTATTATTAATTGAAAAATGTCCCCGTCATTACATGGGTACAGCACAAAGTGACTTGAACAACAACTTGAGGCCCACTCCTACGTATCGTGGTATCCAATAAAAATGGATATCTCACACTTTTGATAACTGCCAAGATTTACTGGTAGACAGCCACACTGTCTGCTGACGCTTTGTTGTGGTGTTACGTCATAAATTATTGATTTTCACCTACAAACGAAGTTCTTTTTGCCTATGCGCTACCCTCGCTTAACTTTAATCATACCACGGAATATAATGGAAGATGCTTTTCAGTTTGAAAAACTTGATGATGTTTTTGTGCCAACTGAATTGGAAGGTTTTCCCTTTCTCTTTCTTGTGATATATCGTCTTTGAGAATATGGTAGCATACTAGGGTTGCATAAGTCTCCTTTCAAAGTTCGGTTTTGGGTCCTACGTATGAGATCCAACCAAAACGTATTTTCTATGCGGTGTTACAGAATCCGATGTGTCAAATTTTTGATTTTATTTGTTCATAGTTGGTCACACCACGAAACTAAACAAGACTCCTATTCACTGTTACAGCCGAGCTTCATAGAACAACTTGGGAAATGCACAGTTCCTATGTCAGATTTATCCGCCTGCCAATGTTTGTTGAAGTTGATTGAATTAGGTGATCTTAACTGTGTGCCGTTTTGTAAACGAATACCGAGGGTAAATGTGTAGCTACACTTGAGTAGTCATTCTATCCTCAAGGACAGTCCGGTAGTCAAATATTTGCTGGACCATTTAGGGGCTTAGCAGTTGAGCTTCTGGTGTGAATGTGGGCACTTTAAAGCTACCATTTACCTGCAAATCTTATTAGAGTTAAACTGTTAAATGCAGTCCCGCTTTATTCCCTCTTTCCTTCTCTAAAGCATCCGATTGTCATCTCTGTTTGTCCAACTACCGTGTTCCGAATCCCACCCCATGCGCATGTGTGTCCACCCATCACGCGACGATTTTCTACGACGACTGGACACGTCACTTTGAGCTGCTTAATTACAGTGAATTTGGCACGGAAGTAGATGGGATCCGTTATGGGAACATGATTGATTCCAGAGGATTGCGTTCACAAGAGGTATGCTCTAATTAGTTCTGTTTTCTTTTGGTTCTGTTTCCTCCTTACTTGCTGGCTCACATAGGTCCCGCTAGGCTCCCTGGCTGGGGACCTCGGGATGATCTTAACCGATGGTTAGAGACACCGATATAGCTGGATGTCATAAACGGTGGCGTTCGTGCATGTTCTCAATTTCTTTGCGACATTAGTCCACTGAAACTTCCATTTTTCTATTCGACTCCACCTTCAAACTTGCTGCCTTTCTCCTACTGTTCATCCTAATGGGCGGCCAGGAGACAGCAATCAAAACCGGTGCATGAAGATGCATGGTTAATGGATGTATGAACTGAAACTGAATACTGGCGATATACGACGTTGTAGTACTCGTGAACTCATTTCGTACGGATGGGGCTATTCGTTCTAAGAAAGGATACGAGTTACTTTTTTGAGCTTGTCATATTAACCAGCTTTACTCGGACCCCACCTGATGGCATTATCTTCCACAACGTCTCGCGGTCTAATGCGGGAACTACGGCGCTGAAGTGGATAAGCTATGCGGCAGGGAGGAGGCGCTAGGACTTGTGATGTTCCGAATGTCTCCAATGAATGAAAATTTGGTTGTTGCATTGTTCCGTGACGGAAGCCTACCTGGTTGATCTGAGTGCCTGCATGTCTCGTTTTTCCGAATCGATTCATTACGAGCTGATCGAAAGCGTTTGCCTGCTGATGTCCGGGTAGGTCGTTCATATTGTCCTTTGGCCCTTCTTCGGGAGTGGAAGCAGAACCGATGTGGTCCAATTGGAAGGGTATCTTTCGGTTTCTCAAATAGAGCGGCATAGCGTATGAAGTGGTTTGCGACCACCGAGAGGCATTTCGGTCGGAATTTCGTCTTCATCAAAGGTCTTGTCAAACTTCAGTCGGTCGATAACATCGTGTATGTCCTGTAAGGATGGAGGATCAAAAGCTGATATTGTACGAGGAAGTCTATCTAATGGACGATTGATGATCTGGCTGAATTGCTCTACCCATC